TACCACATTTTATTTATCCATTCTTCAGTTGAAGGGCATCTAGGTTGTTTCCAGGTTCTGGCTATTACAAATAATGCTGCTATGAACATAGCTGAGCATGTGCCCTTGTGGTATGATTAAGCATTCCTTGGGAATATGCCCAAGAGTGGTATTGGCTTTTTTTTTAGATTTTTCAGGATAGGGTTTCTGTGTAGCCTTGGCCGTCCTGGAACTCACTCGTAGACCAGGCTGACCTCGAACTCAAGAGATTCATCTGCCAATGCCTCCTGAGTGATAGGATTAAAGGTGTGTGCCACCAGGGCCCCGACACTTTAGATTTTTAAAGACAGGGTCTCTCAATGGCCAGAGAAATCTAGGGATATGCCTGTGCCCACCTCCCCAGAACTGGAATTACAAGCAAACCCTACCATACCTGGCTTTTTTACACAGGTTCTATGGTTTAAAATCAGTTCTTTGTATAAGCAATTCATTGACTGAGTTAACTTCTCAGCCCTATCTTAGTATTTTATAAAATGCACGAAAATAATTTATTTACCTGTACTTTCCATTGACTTCTAAGCAACATAAAGAACTCCTTTATGCATCATGAATTATGTATTCTGTACACAGTGTTCAATTTATTGTTAAGTGGAAGTAAAACAAATGGATCATCAATAAATACATGAATACCATTTTTGTCCAATAGGAAACTCTGCTTTTACTCAATTCATGATATAAGTACTTTGGAAGAGGAAGGTTAGAGTCCTCCACACCTGGAATCTGGTATATGCATAACACGCTGGAAGCTCCACTGGGCTAAGGTAGCTCTGCCCCTGTGCTCTGCTGCCTGTAGTGCACAAGGACTCTCTTCGGGCAAAATCTACTTGGTACTGCAGCTTTCCTCAGCAGAAACCCCATGTCTTCACATCTCCAACATCCTGAGTTCTCTACCACAACGTGGTTTTATCCTTAAAGCTTCGTGCAAAGTCCACCAAAGGACTCCCTGCAGGGAATCTGATCCTGCTCTACACTGCCTGACTTCCCAGGCTTTTGTTAAAAATATTGGTGCAAGCCTCCAAGTTAACTAGAACTCCTTCATTCTGCATGCCTGCAAAATTAGTATTGTGTAGATGATGTCATGTTCTGTCGCAAGCTCAAGAACTGGAACCCAATGGACCAAAAGCTTGAGTAGTCTTTGAGTGCCTGTGCACTGAAAACCCTCCCTAGGTTGCCTGAGACTCTGTTAAAGAAAATTCAGCCTTTCATGAGTTGGGTCTCACCCTCAAGGCACCTTTCCTATGGTCCCAGTGCAAGGTGAAAGGGTTCTCCTCAATCATGCTACTCTCTTTACAATCACAGCCACCTGGTTCACCCTTGCCTTTGCTGCAGTTTCAATCACATTGCATGCCCCCAAACGGCATGTTTTCTACATCTTTCTGTTCTACTTCCTCCGCCTCTCTACAAAGCAGCCTGAGTACAGCCTGGTGGTGGTAGTGCACGCTTTTAACCCCAAAACTCGTGAGGCAGAGGCAGGCAGATCTCTGTGAGCTGAGGCTAGCTGGTCTACAGAGGGAATTCCAGGACAGCCAGTGCAATTACTTAGAGAAGAAAGAAACCCTGTCTCAAAAAAACTAAAACTGGGGAAAAAAAAAAAAAAAGCTGTCTGAACGCAGAATGCCATATCCTGATTATTATGCAGTCTTGAAATTTCCTCTTCTAAGATCTGGAACTATGGCTTAAGGAATAGAGTGCTTGCCTAACATGTGCAAGGCCCTGGTTTGATTCCCACCACCACAAAAACAAGAACATTTGGAATCTCCTCCACCAAATAGATTAGTTCATTACCTTTTAATTCAGTCTTACTCAAATGTTCCTGACACAAGCAGAATGGGCTGGTTCACATATTGGTGGACCAGGAAGCAGAGTGCAAACTGGAACCATGGGCCAGCATATCCTTCAAACGCCAATCCCCAATGAGCTACTTCTACCAGCCAGGCCCCACCTCCTAAAATAGCACCACAAGCTGAAGACTGACCACTAAAAAAAGAGCCTGTGGGGAACAATTCAGATTCAAATCAGAAGAGAGGCCTTGTTAGGAGAAGTAAAGTCCTGACTCTGCTCTGTCTCCTCTGATACCCCAATAGCATTAAGGGTGCTTCTTACTGTAGGGTAAGAGCAGATGTCTGGGCGCCCACTGTGGTCTCTACTGACATCAGAAGACTATGTACCTCCCTACTACCTGATGGGGAGTAAAGTCTTGGTTCCCCGCTCAGTTTTCTTTGATAGTACTCTAGTTGGGGCAGAGGTAGGAAATGAGGTCAAGAAGAGGCAGAACTGAGGCTCCCTGTCACAGCCTGGCAAGGATTATAGCCTAGACTCTCTCTGGCTTATGCTGGCAGGGAAGGTCTGTAGTGTTCTTTTAATCTGCTTGTTTTGGAGCAGGCAGTCACTATCTTAAAGTCGTCTGCCTTGTGCTTTTCTGGGATCCTTTTTTGCATGTTCCTCCTTTCACTTCAAGTTTCTAGCCTACAAGTCTTTCTGGAATATACCGAGGAAAAGAAAATATAAGAACTATACCATGCTGTTCTTTTTGGGTTGAGATTCCCTAACTAGTCTTTATTCTTGTGTCTACACTTTACATATTTGCTTATATCTAGATAGTAGCCATTAAACAAATAATAATTAAGCTATAATCCATAGGACCAGAGAGGACAGGCATAAAGGAAGAGACTGGGGGGACACATGGATCTCCCTGGGAAGGAGAAATAGAATAGATTTTATGGGTGGAGTATAGGAGAAGAGCACAAGAACAGGAGGATCAGGTGGGGAGGAAGAGGAGAGACGAGATTGAGGGAGCGAATGTGAGGGGAGAGACAACTAGAACTGAAGGACATTTGAGGGGTGGTATGGAAACTAGCACAGTGGAAAGTAACAATAAAATGACTCCTAATGATATTCTGCTATACTCAGATTGGTGTCTTATTCAACTATCATCAGAGAGGCTTCCTATGGTTCCTGTAGCAGATGGGAACAAATACAGAGACCCATAGCCAGATATTACACACACCAAGAGAGACCTTGAAACACACAGCTCTAAACAAGATGTCTCCATCAAATCTCTCCCCTCAGAACTCAAGGAACCCCAAAGAAGAGGAGGCAGAATAAGCAGGGAAGACAACGGGGATGAAGGACACCAGGAGAAGAAGGCCCTCTTAAAAAAACTGAGTAAAGCCGGGCGGTGGTGGCGCACGCCTTTAATCCCAGCACTTGGGAGGCAGAGCCAGGCGGATCTCTGTGAGTTCGAGGCCAGCCTGGTCTCCAAAGCGAGTTCCAGGAAAGGCGCAAAGCTACACAGAGAAACCCTGTCTCGAAAAACCAAAAAAAAAAAAAAAAAAAAAAAACTGAGTAAAGCTCCTATGAGCTCACAGAGACTGAAGCAGCAATCACAGGGCCTGCATGGGTCTGCACCAGGTCCCCTGCACATATACTATAGCTTTCAGGTTAGCACTTTTAGGGGACTCCTGGATGTGTGAATGAGTACGTCTCTGATTCTTGTACCTGCTCTTGGAGCTCTTTTATTTTTCTGTTAGTTTGTCTTGTCCAACAAGATAAAGATGGTTTTTGTTTTATCTTACTATATTTTATTTTGTTATATTTTGTTGTTACCTCTTAGAAGTTTGTTCTTTTCTAATGAGACAGAAAAGGGGTAGATCTGGATAGGAGAGGAGGTGGGGAGGTACTGAGAGGAGTAGAGGGAAGGGAAACTATATGTAGATTATATTGTATGAGAAAAGAATCTATGTTTAAAAAAAGGAAAAAATGTTATACTGTTTTATATCTAATGTTTACAGTTTGAAACTATATTTAACAGAAGGAAAAAGGAAACAAAATGTTAAGTCTACTTTATCTTCCCCCAAAGTCCCTGCTTTCCTAACCCCAGACAGATTCTCATGTGGCCCTGGCTGGCCTCAAACTCACTGTGAAGCCTGAGGATTACACTGAATGTTTGATCCTCCTGCCTCTACCTCCTGAGTGCTAGGATAACAGACATGTTCTCTGTGCCCAGTTTATGTGGTGCTGGGGATCAAATCCAGGGCTCTGTACATGCTAGGCAAGTACTCTACCAACTGGACTACATCTCCAGCCCCTAGGAGGTCTGTTTTAAGAGACTTTATTATACCATGTGCCAGGTACCATGAGAACAGATGATCCCAAACCTGCAGTGCAGAGCACTATATTCAAATCCCTGCTAACCTGAAGTTCAAAGAAATCCTATTTGTCATTTGCTAGCTAAGTGTCATAATTATTTAACCACTTGTTATTTTAACAGCAATGGAAATGCTATTTCACATGGTTGGAAATAGCTAAGTAAGATTTTGCATTAAAAAATAGCTGATCTGAGGCGGATCTCTGTGAGTTCGAGGCCAGCCTGGGCTACCAAGTGAGTCCCAGGAAAGGCGCAAAGCTACACAGAGAAACCCTGTCTCGAAAAACCAAAAAAAAAAAAAAAAAAAAAAAATAGCTGATCTGCCTGGCATGGCCTCATACCTGTAACCCCAGAATTTGCAGGGCTGACACAAAAGTATTGCTGAGTTGGAAGCCAATCTGGTCTCCATAGCAAGAGCCTGTCTTAAAATAAACAAACAAGCCGGCGGTAATGGCACACACCTTTAATCCCAGCACTCGGGAGGCAGAGGCAGGCAGATCTCTGTGAGTTCGAGGCCAGCCTGGACTACAGAGTGAGTTCCAGGAAAGGCACAAAGCTACACAGAGAAACCCTGTCTTGAAAAACCAAAAAAATAAAAAATAAACAAACAAACAAAAAAACAATACCACATAGTTTTCTCACTAACTCTGAATCTATTATATCAAAGTGGTAATAAAAACTGAATTTTAGAATCTTTAGATTTAAACAAGCTCTGAATTAGTAATTATTTGCCTTCAATTTTCTTATTTTAAAATACATCCACATCCCAAATTAATTAAGAGAAGTATTTATTAATACATAAACTAGGACTAACCTGTAATTTCAGTGTAGAGATGAATCTATCTTGGGTTCTCACTTCTTGTTCTAGTTGGAGAGTATTCTGGTTTTTTCCAGCTTCAGAAACTGGAGCCCCGAGACCAAACTGATGTTCTTTGGTGGTAACCTAGTAGGAAGTATGAAAAATAATGGAGAGGCAATCCATTTAAAACATAGCTGTGACTTTTTACATCAGTAAGTTTTGAAATTTATTAACATTCTATTTCATTCATATTTTCTATTGTTTTTAACTTCCCATCAGCAAAGCAGAGGATACCAAGCTACGTTTCTTAAGAATCTATAGTATAAAGCCTAGGGCTAGTGAGATGTTCAGCAGTTAAGAGTGCTTAATCAGAGGACTGGAGCTCAGATCCCAGCATTCACACTGAGGGGAGAAGCTCACAAATGCCTCCAGCTCCAAGGGATCTGATCTGATGTCTCCTTCTAGCTTCTGTGTGTGCCCATGCACACATGTACTCATGCCCTCCCTCTCTCTCTCTCTCTCTCTCTCTCTCTCTCTCTCTCTCTCTCTCTCTCTCTCACACACACACACACACACACACACACACACACACACACACACACCTTTAAAAACAAAACAAAAGACCTGTTCAACAAGAGAGATACCATCCCTGCATCCCTGGTACTGGAAACCTAGATAACTAATCAATGCTAGTGAAATCATGTTTATTGGAGGAGAATCTGCTCATTCTACTAATCTACTACTAATTTATTAAACCAACATAATCCCTCACAACAATCTGTAAACATTTCTCCTTACAGCTACAGATACGTGTAGTCCTTACCCCTCATCAAGGAAACTTCTCTTTACAGCCGATGGAGATACTACAGAAAACTACAACCAATCAATATGCAGAGTTGTAGAGCCCAGTCCCATCTACAAAACACTCCCACACATTGCAGAGGAAGGGACAGAAAGACTGTAAAAGCCAGAGGATCAGCAGTTTGCTGAGATTGTGTCTCCTAGTAATATCAGAAGTCACACTCATAAAGTCTCACCAACATGACCACCCAAGAGTGAGCTGAATAAGGATGACACCAACAAACGTGTCAAACTGGACAGGGAAAAGCCCATGAGGTCGCAACCCTACACAGGACTATAGGCAACTGAGTAAAGCTGGGAGCAGGAGAGGTGGTATTCCCTAGAGAAGAGCCAACAATAGTTGTCCAGTGCCAAACTGTCAGTCTTGAAGACATATATACAAGAAACATTATATGGACTCAACAGGCTAGAGTTAGGAATATACATGTATATATATGCATGTAATGGCAATTGATGAAAAAAGAGACTATGAATTTGAAGGAGAGCTGGGCAGGAAATATGGGAGACTTTGGAGGGAGCAAAGGGAAGGGAGAAGGATTGTAATTAAAATACAATCCCAAAAATTAAAAAAGAAAAAGAAAAGAAATGCATCTATGTTTTCCAAATAAAACCATGATAGTGAGCATGCTTTTTAAAGATGCATGCCCTATCCTATCACTTTCCTGAAGATACATGAGTTGGTAGCAAACAAGAGTCTACCTCCAAACTTCTGTCAAATATGGTAGCCATTAGTCACATGTTAGCTATTGCCATTGATAGTAACACAAAGTTTGCTAGCCATCCATAAGGGGATACTTTCTCTAAAACATTTACAATTTCTATAAGTAAAAAGGCAAAAGAAATATTCTAACAGAAAAATTAGAAAAAGAACATGAATATTTACAGAAACATTCAACAATATTTTGGAGCAGTGGTTCTCAACCTTTGGGTTGTGACCCCTTTAAGGGTCACAAATCAGACATCCTGCATATCATATATTTACATTATGATTTATAACAGTAGCAAAATTATGGTTATAAAGCAGCAACAAAACAATTTTGTGGTTGGGGGTCACCACAACATGAGGAAGAGGATTAAAGGGTTGCAGCATTAGGAAGGTTGAAAACCACTGCTTTAGTGAGATGTGATATGAATTAAAATAATACTGAGGACCCATTTTTAACCACCACCTTGACAAAAGCCAATAAATTGGATGTGTGTGTGTGTGTGTGTGTGTGTGTGTGTGTGTGTGTGTGTGTGTGTGTGTTATACATGAGTGTACAAATGCAAAGACCAGAGCAGGATATTGAGATCACTCTCCATCTTATTGAGATAGGGGTCTCTCACTGAACTGGAAGCCAACCATTTCAGCTAGATTGTCTGGTCAGAGAACCACTGAGATCTACTTGTCTCCATTCTCCTATGCTAGGGTTCCGGGCATGTGCATTCATGCCTGGTTTCTGGCATAGTGCTAAGGATTCAAACTCTGGTCATCCTGCTTGTACAGCAAGCACTCTTATCCACTGGTCTATCTCCCCAGACTCAAATGTTAAATATCTAACTTATCATACCTATGCATCATTTGTGATAATATGAGATGATTGTTTATGGAAAGCAATTAGGCAAAATCTATTAACACTAAAAGTATACATATAGCTTCTATCCAAATAATTTCATTTCTAGGAATTTATCATACAGATGTACTTATACATCTAATGTACAGGTGCGTGTTAATTAGTGTATATCTAATGTACATCTAACTTAGAACAAATGTTCTAAGTTTTCCAGGTTAGTATAGTAGCCCCACTACTCCACTATGTTTTTACTTAGCAATACATCTAAGAAATCATGTCATTTAGAAAAGTAGTATTCTCTTCCTGAATCAAGTCAATCATCGTGTTATAAGTGAGAATTTTCTAAGAACATCCTAGACCTTTCCTTCAACACAGCTGCTGTTCTCCAACATCACTCTCAGGAAATTATAAAATCAAGATATCCCCACTGACTAGCTTGAGTATACCATGTGCAGCCTGGCATCGAAGTAGGTTGGTGGATCTATTTCCTTTTCCTTCCCTAAATAAGATAGAGGGTGCATTTCTATGCATCTCTAGCTACTGCCCACCTGGAATGTCAGCATAAATCTCACAGACTACTTAAAACTTTAGGAGCTATATAAAAATCCTACCACTTCTCACACAGTTTCTGTTGAGAAGAGTGCTCCTAGTTACAAACATTTGACTCAGGAAAGCAGAATAAATAACTTCTCACTTTGGCAATTAATTTTTAAATTTTGGTGAACATATGAATCACAACGGAGTGTTGTTTACATGCAGAATCTCATTCACAGTACACCTGAGATCCTGCAATTCTGAAAAGCTTCCCTGCAGTCCTTATTGGCTTTCCACCACACTTCAGATTGCCAAGATCTATTTTTGCCCAACATGCAAAGTTCTTCATAATTTGTTCCCTTCCACTTTGACAACTTTATCACCTAATTAACACCTCCAAGAATTATTCTACAAATTCTTAATACATACACCTAGAAACACTCTTCTTCACTAACATTTTGAGGCTCAGTTTGAACTCCATATTCTCAAGATCAATTCTGTTTTTTATAAGGATGATGTCATCAACAAGATATATATATATATACACTGATTATAGCACAATTTAGGTAAGTATTCATGTTTTCTAGATGTCTTCCTTACACATTTACTTGAACCTTAAAAATAAGCAATGTCTAAAAGTTGTCTCCACCAGTCTTCCGAGAGTCGGTCTCCTCCCCGCCACCACCGTGTGTGTGTGTGTGTGTGTGTGTGTGTGTGTGTGTGTGTGTGTGTGTGTGTGTGTGTGTGTGTGTGTGTGTAGGGCAGAGGACAATCTCAAGTGTCAGCCCTAGCCTTTTCATCTTGTTTTAGACAGGATCTATTGTCTGTTGCTGCACATGCCAGGCTAGCTGGCCCATAAGCTTCCAGGGTTCTCCTGTCTCCACCACCCATCCTTGCACAGGATCTCTGCAATTACAGATGCTTGCTACCATCTGGCTTTACATGGCATGCTGGTTAGTTTTTGTCCAACTTGACACAAACCAAGGTCATACTGAGAAGAGGGGACTTCAATTGAGAAAATGCTTCCATCAGACTGGCTTGTAGGCAAGTCTGTAGAGCATTTTCTGGATTAATGATTGATATGGGAGGATCCAGACCATGTGAGTGGTACCACCCTTGGGCAGGAGATCTTAGGTGGTATAAGAAAGTAGCCTGAGTAAGCCATGAGGAGCAAGCCAGTAAGCAACATGCTCCATGGTCTCTGCCTCAGTTTCTGCCTCCAGGTTCCTGCCTTGAGTTCCTACCCCAATTTCTCTTCAAGACTACAACTGTGTGGTGGTTTGAATGAGATGTCCCCCATAAGTCTCAGGCATTTGAATACCTGAGTTGAATACCCAGTTGGTAGCTATTTGAGATTAGGAAGAGTGGCCTTGTTAAAGGTGATGTGTCACTGGGGGTGGGCTTAAGGTTTCCACGCCTCTGCCATGCACTCTGTTTCCTGCTTATGGATTAGGATATGAGCTTTCAGATGCTTCAAGCTCGTCTGCAGCCATGCTTCCCACCATGGTGGTCATCCACTCTAACCCTCTGAAACTGTAAGCCCCAAATAAACCCTTCTTTCTATAAGTTGCCTTGGTCGTGGTTTTTTTTTTTTTTTGGGGGGGGGGTAATTAATTTATTTGCACATTGTGATTTTTATTTACAAGGAGAAAAGAGAAAATACTTAGGAAACAGCTTGGAATATAGACTTAATATTAAGAAAGATGTACAGCAGGAGTTGATTTGGAAGTCTCCTTTTTAATTTTTTTTCACTTTACATACCAAGTACAGTCCTCCCTCTCCTCCTCCCTCTCCCTCGCACCTCCCCCCCCACCCCATCCCCCTCCACTCCTCAAAGAGGGTAAGGCCTCCTGTGGGGAGTCAACAAAGCCTGGCATATCAAATTGAGGCAGGACCAAGCCACTCCCTCCTGCATCAGAGCTGAGCAAGGTATCCCTCCATAGGGAATGGGCTCCAAAAAGCCAGTTCATGCACCAGGGATAAATCCTAGTCCCACTGCCAGGGGCCCTACAAACAGACCCTGTCACCCACATTCAGAGGGCCTAGTTCAGTCCCATACTAGCTTCCCAGCTGTCAGTCCAGAGCCCATGAGCTCCCACTAGCTCAGGTCAGCTGTCTCTAGTGGTTCCCCATCATGATCTTGAGGTATTTTACCACAGCAACAGAAAAGTAACTAATACAAACTGTAAGCAGAAA